GGGGGCGGAGGCGGAAGGATCGCCGGAGCCCAGCAGGTCGAGGCTGCGGTGGCCGGGAGCAGCCACTGCACTCCAGTCTGGGCGACACAGTGAGACTCCAACTCAAAAAACAAAAAAAACAAAAAAAAAAACAAAAAACCTTGCCCCAAATGCAATCTTCCAGGACATTAGGTGGTGGACTGCCCCAGCCCCCAGAGAGGAGCAGGATCAGCCCTCAACTCCACCCTGGATCTACTGGGCGTGGCCGCTTTGGAATGACAGGGCCCTGGGTTTCCCCACCCGAAGCATATCTCAAATGCTCGGGAGCCTAGGGTCAAAATTATGGTTGACGGATGTCCCATCCTCTTCCTGCTAGACACTGGAGCCACCCTTTTTGTCCTACAGGAGTTCTGGGGACTAACTTCACCATCCCGGGTAGTCAGGGTAGGGGGCCAACCTTCATCCCACACACAACTCCTACGCTAACGTGCATATCTGCTAGCGTCCCATTTACCCACTCCTTCCGGGTCATGCCTCAGTGCCTTATACCCCTTATGGGAGGGACATCCTGGCCAAATTTCAGGCATCCATCACCTTCAATCCCAGTGCTGCCCTTACCACCCCACTACCGACAACTTCCTCACTCCTCCTTTTGGCCTCTAGTCCCTGGCCTCCCTCCCCACAACCTGCCTTGCTCCCTCCCTTGCTCGCCTCGGCGGCTGACCCATTAGTCTGGGACATCCACACTTCTTCATTGGCCCAGTGCCCACCCGTTCACATCCAGTTAAAGGACCCGTCCACTCACCCCAGTCAGCCACAATACCCTCTCCCCAGGGCCAGTCTGCTAGGTCTGCAGCCTGTCATAAACACCCTACTACGCAAGGGATACTTAAGGCCCACCAACTTGCCATACAATACTCCCATCTTGGCTATAAAAAAACCTGACGAAACCTACCAGCTAGGCCAAGACCTTTGACTAATAAATGCAGCCATTCTCCCCATTCACCCACTGGTTCCCAACCCTTATACCATCCTGTCTACCATTCCTCCGACGGCAACTCACTTTTCAGTTATAGACCTTAAAGATGCATTCTTCACCATTCCCTTGGCAGCTGACTCCCAGGACATTTTCGCGTTTACTTGGACCGACCCTACTTCCCGTCACTCTCAACAGCTCACATGGACGGTCCTCCCACAGGGATTTTGGGACAGTCCCCATCTGTTCAGCCAGGCTCTAGCGGCCAACCTTAAACTTCTGTCACTCCCCAAATCTGCTCTTATCCAGTATGTAGATGACCTTCTCTTATGTAGCCCCTCTATAACTGACTCTCACAGGGACACTGTCCTGCTTCTCAACTTTCTAGCACAAAAGGGATACCGAGTTTCCCCCACAAAGCTCAGCTATCCAGAACACAAGTCACCTACCTTGGTGTAGCCATTTCACACCAACAAAAGACCATAACAACCAGTCGCAAGTCTGTTATTCAGTCTCTCCCGGTGCCCAAAACAAAGGAAGAAATCCAGTCATTCCTGGGATTGGCGGGCTACTTCCGAGCCTGGATCCCCAATTTCACCCTTCTTGCCAAGCCACTCTATGATCTGGTTAAAGGTGACCCTAAGGAACCATTACTCTCCCTCTCAGCCATTAGACAGCCTTTCACGGCCCTCCAACAGGCTCTCCTCCAGGCCCCCGCCCTACGACTACCCGATGTTCACCGACCTTTCACCTTATACGTCCACGAAAACAAGGGCGCAGCCCTAGGAATTCTAGGCCAATTCAGTGGACAAACATTTGCTCCTGTAGCCTATCTCTCAAAACAGCTTGACCACCCAG